GTCTCTAGGAAGTTCCAAACTTTCCCATATTTTCCTGTCATCTTCTGAGCCCTCCAAACTGTTTCAACCTCTGCTTGTTACCTAGTGTCAAAGTTGCTTCCACATTTTCAGGTATCTTTACAGCATACCCCACTACCTGGTACCAATTTACTGTATGAGTCTATTCTCACACTGCTAATAAAGACTTACTCAAAACTGGGTAATTTATAAAGACAAAGAGGTTTAATGGACACACAGTTTGACATGGCTGGGGAGGCCTCACAATCATGGTGGAAGGTGAATGAGTAGCAAAGTCATGTCTTACATGGTGGCAGGCAAGAGAGAGCTTGTGCAGGGGAACTGTCCTTTATAAAACCATCAGATCCGTGAGACTTATTCACTATCACGAGAACAGCATGGGGAAGACCCACTCCCATGATTCCATTACCTCCCACTGGGCTCCTCCCACAACATATGGAGATTTGGGGAGTTACAATTCAATATGAGATTTGTGTGGGGACACAGCCAAACCATATCAAGCCCTAAAACAAACCTGTGAAATAGAAATGTGCATTTCTGTGTGGCCAGCAAAATCAAAGCTCACTCATTTTAAAATCTCTAGTCGCATTTCAGTATAAAGTTTTCTGAAAGCATTTTGTAAAGGTAAAGGAAAGAAGCTAATTTAAGCAGCAACCTTTGAAATAATTCATATTCATTAAACCACAAGTAGAAGGAGGGACCGTGAGCTTGGGAGGCATTCTCATATTAAACTCCTCATCCCCAAAAGGAACTGTCTCTCAGGTAAGAAAAGATAAGGAGTCTAAGCTCTTTCTGAATAGATCCATAGGTAAAAAGTAGAAAATATTAAAACACTGGGAACCCAGAGAAGTCCACACAAGAATCAGGGCTTTAGGAGTAGGACTCTAGCTGAAGCCTGAATTTGGAAAAGCTTTTGGAAACAAGCTCTCCTAGCACAACTTTCTGGGTCAGGGACCTCACCAAAGCAGTTTTCATGACCCGGCCATCAGCCCCCGAGTCCAGTCTGCTACACTGCAGCACATCGGGCTGCTGCTCTAGGATTAAATCCCTTAGCACATCTGCTGCACTGCAGCATGTCGGGGCTGCTACCCCTTAGCAAGTGCCTGTTTTCCTCAAGTAACTCACACAATTGGCAGCCTGTAGTATGCCCTGTTGTTTAAAGGATGACTGGGAATTTTTTTTTAATTTATTTATTTATTATTATTATTATTATTATACTTTAAGTTCTAGGGTACATGTGCATAACGTGCAGGTTTGTTACATTTGTATACTTGTGCCATGTTGTTGTGCTGCACCCATCAACTCGTCAGCACTCCTCCACTCGTCATTTACATCAGGTATAACTCCCAATGCAATCCCTCCCCCCTCCCCCCTCCCCATGATAGGCCCCGGTGTGTGATGTTCCCCTTCTCGAGTCCAAGTGATCTCATTGTTCAGTTCCCACCTATGAGTGAGAACATGCGGTGTTTGGTTTTCTGTTCTTGTGATAGTTTGCTAAGAATGATGGTTTCCAGCTGCATCCATGTCCCTACAAAGGACACTAATTCATCCTTTTTTATGGCTGCATAGTATTCCATGGTGTATATGTGCCACATTTTCTTAATCCAGTCTGTCACTGATGGACATTTGGGTTGATTCCAAGTCTTTGCTATTGTGATTAATTAGACCATCAAAGCCCTGGACTAATAGACTATTGCCAATCCCATCTCTATTCCTGCTCATCTCTTCTCCTTCCTTTTCCATCCTCTTTTTTTATTGATCTGGTAATTATTTGATTAAAAAAATGCACCCTGATCAGTCTATCTCCAGCAGTCTGTCACCATCTAAATAGTTTTTGAGGTCCCAATAATTATCCCAACTAATGGCTTCCTTGATTACCTTCATCCCTAAAATCAGGCAGCATTTAGATAAAAATTACACATAATTTAGTACTTCATCATATTTTGCTATTATTTCTGTAATTTCATGTGTTTTAGCGTTGTCTTTCTAACCTGGGTACAAGATCCATGAAACTTTGATAATTCTCCTGCATTCCCCCAAAGAACCTAGAACAGAACACAGCACAGGATCCATTGACTGATGGGCTTATTTACTGATGTGACCCAGAGGTGCTCATAACAAGCTATAAATATGAAATCAAGACATTCACAAAATAAAGAGATCGGTCAGGCGTGACGGCTCATGCCTATAATCCCAGCATTTTGTGAGGCCAAAGCGAGACGATTGTTTGACCCCAGGAGTTTCAGACCAGCCTGGGCAACATGAAAAAAACCGTCTCTACAAACAAATAAAATAAAATAAAAATAGCTGAGTGTCATGGCACATGCCTGTAGTCCCAACTACTCAGGAGACTGAGGCAGGAGGATCGCTTGAGCCCAGGAATTCCAGGCTGCAGTGAGCAATGATTACTCCACTGCACTCCAGCCTGGGTGACAGGGTGAGACCCTGCCTCTCAAATAAAATAAAATAAAAAATGAAAAGATCAACATTACAAGGAGAATAAAGTATTTGGCCCAGCACTGAGGAGATTTTACTTAGGCAGATTTATTTCTTTTAATCAGTAAATATTGCAATCCTTGACAAGGACGTAGGAGACCCAAAGAGAACCCCAGTTTAATAGACTGGTTAGAAAGAAAGAGTGGACCTAAAGCTTATGGCCAGTAAATATAAATAAATAAATAGCAAAAATTCCAACTGCAATGATATGATTAGCACAAGATTCAGACAATAGAATGAATGGTATTTGACGTCTACATTAAGAAATTTCTACAAAATCAAATAATTGGATCTGTTATGAGTGAACTAAGGTGAAACTCTGTAAAAAGATAACTCGAGAATGTGACATTTCCAAAAAGATAGTACATTTAGAATGTCTGCCGGAATAAAGAGACATAGCTGTTTTATAACTTAGGGTATTAATAGAAAACTTGAGTTGTGGCGAGGCCAGCCACCTGGGAGTCAGCTACCATGGGAAAGGTGGTTTGCTACTCACAGATCCCAAGAGGAAGAGGTGGGCACAGCCCCAGGGCCATGCAGGGAAGCCCAAGGCCAGAGGCAGAGGGAGGGGAAAGCTGGCAAGAGCCTTTATTACGGCTTCCATAGCAAGGCAGGCTTAGCAGGCTTAGCTCTGGCTAGTTTGAATAAATTCTGGGGGCTCTGGGGCATACGGACTGGCCTCAGTTGTCTCGGATCTGGTTGTGAGGTGATTAGGGCAGATGAATAGGGTAGAGGTCTTGAGTGTGAGAGTATGATTAAAAGGTGGTTGAGATGTGGCCCCCAGATGCGTCCTAGTGGAAAGCAGAACTTCTTCCAAGAAGAGGAGGTAGGGAGAAGGAGGCCGGAAGCATTGCAAGGTGATTCAGGCACATGACAGGGTGGTCCAGAAGATTATGCGTCCAGCATACCCATGTAGAGCAGATGTCAAAGCATCACATGTGCAGAGCTGGAAATGTGATTACTATAGTTGCATGGACACAGCAACTGTTAGGGATACATAAAAAGTAACAAGGGAACATAACCTATGAATTTAACTATTTCACCTTGAACAGGGTGGTATGGTTTCTGTGTCCCCACCCAAATCTCATGTCAAATTGTAATCCTCGGTGTTGGAGGAGGGGCCTGGTGGGAAGTAATCGGCTCAGGGGGGCGGATTTCTCTCTTGTTGTTCTCATGATAGTGAGTTTTCACAAGATCTGGTTGTTGAAGATCTTGTGAGATCTTCAAATCTCACTATCTTCAAATCTTCAAATCTACTTCCCCCTTCACTCTATTCCTCCTGCTCTAGCCATGCGGGACATGCCGGCTTCTCCTTCGCCTTCCGTCATCACCGTAAGTTTCCTGAGGCCTCCCCAGCCATGCTTCCTGCACAGCCTGCAGAACCATGAGCTAGTTAAACCTTCTTGCCTTATAAATTACCCAGTCTCAGGTAGTTTTTTCTAACAATGCTAGAGTGGACTAATACGACGGGTCTGAGAATCAGGTCACTATTCAAATGGCAGAAAGCTACCTACTATTGAAACATGAAATCAAGCCTACTGCCTGTGCCCTGGCCTCTTCTACCTTTGCAGCAGAAAAGGAAGCCAATTTACAAACAAGATAGAGAAAGCTAACAAGTGACCAAAATAGATTTCGATTGTAAGTGAAATAAACTTAACTACAACATTGAGCCCATAACCTTGGTAGTAAAATAAAATGAAGTGAAAGAAGCGATGCTGTAATAACAATTTAATATTCACCAGATTGTAAAGCGAATCTAGGAGGAATCATTGTTCATGCAAGAAGAAAATTACCACCCAATATAATCTGTGGTGAGACATATTCATGGCCACCCAGAGAGCCCCAAAATCTAAATGGTGATTTTCTTTAAAATGATGGCTGGGCGCTGCTGGTGCTTAATTAATTTCTTCATATCCTCCAGAGTAGGATGAGCTGTACCTGCTTCAAACATGCCTGAGGATGAGGCTATACCACAGGAACTACCTGGATTGCAGGAGAGAGGGGAGTGGGTGGCCTTCACCAATGGCCACTGAGTGATTGCATACTGGAAAGGCATTGGTCTAAAACTCAGAAGGCCTCAGTTCTCACCAGAGCCCTGCCCATAGGCAGCTGTTTGATCCTGAGCAAGGAATTTAGCTCTTTTCATGTGTCGAAATACTGAGGTTTTTCCATATCTCAGAGAAGTGGGTAGGATTAAAGGATTTTTAAATTTTCTTCCAAGGCAGCCATTACACTGACCCACAGCCATCATGCCTGAGCATAAGAATATGCTGCCATTGCCTAGACCATTACCCCTTCTCTTGTGTTGTTGGCCAGAAATGCCCCAGACACTTCATGGTACCTTAAAACTTATTTAGAACATCCACAAGCAACTCTTTAGGGACACCCTTACCATCTCGGAAGGTATATAAATGCAGGCTGTTACCAATAGGAAAGTCTTAGTATTGGATCACCATGAACACACAATGGCATTCAAGGTATTGTGCAAAGTTGTTTCTTATTTTACTTGTTAGCCCATTCAGAACTAACCTCATGTGCACCTCCAGGAGTCCCTCTTCTCTCCCGTTACAATCACTCAAAGTTATTCCCTGGATCTCGGACCTTCCTCCAGCATCCTGGCTTCAAACTGGAAAAGCAACACTAAATATTGCATAATACCAGTCTTGTACACTTCTGAAGACTTCAGGTTCTTTAGAATTCCATTCTATTAAAGGTTCCCACCCTGAAAGGGGCTAGAGAACAGGAAGGAAGGAAGGAAGGAGGGAAGGGAGGGAGGGAGGGAGGGAGGGAGGGAGGAAGGGAGGGAGAGGAGGGGAGAGGAGGGGAGAGGAGGGGAGAGGAGGGGAGGGAAGGAAGGAAAGGAAGGAGGGAAGGAAGGAGAGGAAGGGAGAAAGAAGAGGAAGGGAGAAGGGGTCGCTCTCTAGGTTATTAAGGCAACTTTGTTGAGAAACTATGCTTGCATTTAAATATGAGATTGTCCTAATATTTGGGTTTTCATAACTCAGAGCTTCAGTCAGGTACATCACTGGGCTCAGCCAGATATACGAATCATCTGCTCCTGGGTCTAGTAGGTAATGTACTTGGCCACAATCTTAGTTTTCTCATAAAGAAACTTCATCTTCTAGGCTTCCCCAGTAGGATTCTGTAAAATCTGTTTATCCCTGCCCCTAGTAAACGTGTGAGCATATTATTCCTTCCCCTTCTCGTGTCTACATTAGCACAGCTCATTTCAGTAAGGCCATTCTTTAAATACAGCAAATAAAAGACCACTTGTTATTCAGCTTTAAAACTCTTTTCTATTATAAGCACATATTGCAGAATTCTATACCTTTTATGTCCTTGACAAACTACTAGAGAACTTCTGAACATTGGTTCCCACAGAAAGACGGGGCCTCTTCTCCACATAGCAACACCACCCTCCGCCTCCGGCCAGGCCTTCAGCTATACTGACACCCAGGTCCCTCCACCCTGGGCCTCCAGCAATACACACACCCAGGTCCCCCAACCCTGGGCTTTCAGCTATACCCCTCCCAGCTCCCCAAAACCCTGGGCCTTCAGCTATGCCCACACCTGGGTCCCCCCCACCCCACGTGGGCCTTCAGCTATGCCCATACCCGGGTCCCCCCCACCCCACCTGGGCCTTCAGCTATGCCCATACCTGTGTCCCAGTAAACACCTCTTGGCTCATGTCCCTCAATTTTCGATTCTCATTCTGACGTTGCTGTTACCAAATGATCCTCTTCCTCTGTCCAAAGTAAGCTTAATTATTTTGAATGGTTTGCTGTTTTTCTCCCAGACCACCCCTGTCACTCCCAATGCCACATGCACCAGGGTTCCCCTGAGCCCACGCTCCAATCATGAGACAGCAGCTCTGCCCTCTTCCTACTCCCAAGCGTTTGCAAGCATCTATGGTTTCATTTCTGTGACTGTGAATATCTATGAGATGAGATCTTTGTTTATTAACATCTATATACTCCAACATACCTGACTCTTGGATGTTTCCAGATAAACGTTTATCGAATTGATGCAAATTACTCCTGAGACTGTGGCAGCATCCCTGCTGGTGAACCTTCTGTGTGCTCAGTGCAGTGTCCTCCTTTCCACTCTGACTCTTAGCACTCCCTGCCTGACTCCATCTCTGACGGCAGTGGGGGTGGCTGGCGTGGAAAACAAAAAGCTCTAAAGACCTGAGCTGTAGTCCTCGCTCTGTCACTCGCGGGCCATAGCGCCTTAGACACATATCGTGCCCATCTGTAAAATCAGGGCTTGGCCTTGCTGGGTAGTTTCCAGCAGCATTCTCTGAAGAAGACCTGGAGCCCACCCTGGAGGCAGAGGGAGCCAGAGGAAGGTGCAGCCAGTCTCCCCTAGCCCCAGGCCCAGCAGATCACCCACCACTGTGCTGCTTCTACAAAAATCTCACAAGCCTGTAGAAGGCTGTGTATTAGTCTGTTCTCATGCTGCTATGAAGAAATACCCAAGACTGGGTAATTTATAAAGGAAAGAGGTTTAACTGACTCACTGTTCTGCAGGGCTGGGGAGATCTCAGGAAACTCGCAATCATGGCGGAAGGGGAGGCAAATATGTCCTTCTTCACATGATGGCAGCAAGAAGAAGTGCAGAGAGAAAGGGGAAAGCCCCTTATAAAACCATCAGATCTCGTGAGAACTCACTCACTACCAAGAGAACAGCATGGAGGTAACTGCCACCCGGCCCCATGATTCAATTACTTACCACTGGGTCCCTCCCACAACACGTGGGGATTATAGGAGCTACAATTCAAGATGAGATTTGAGTGGGTACACAATCAAACCATATCAGCTGGTCTAGGTGATCCCTCAAGTTTCCCTCAGCTTCCCGGCATGAATATTCCTATTCATGACCACACTTCCTGCTGCAGCAACAGCCATCCAAACCAAAGCAGACACAGAGTTAAAAGCCCAGATGCATGAAAACATGCTGAATCCCACTAGTCATTATGAAAATGCAAATCAAAACCACAATGAGATACCACTTCACAGCCACTAGGCTGACGGCTATAAAGACAAAAAGCAAAAGATAAAGTTTTGTAGGATGTAGGGAAATTGGAATTCTTGTGCTGGTGGGAATGTGAAATGCTACAGCCACTGTATAAAAATAGCATAGCCATTTCTCAACAAAGTAAACATGGAATTAGCTTACGATCCAGCAATTCCACTTCTGGGTATATGCCCAAAAAAATTGAAAGCAGGAACTCAGATGTCCTAACAGGCCTGCTCACGGCAACATTATTCACAATAGTCAAAATGTGGGAACCTCCCCATTGTCCATCAACAGACAAATAAGCACAACATCGTGTATCCATTTACAGTGGAATATTATTCTGCTTGAAAAGGAAGCATAGACACGTGCCAGAACACGGATGAAGCTTGCAGATAGCATGCTAAGTGAAACAAGCCAGACACAAAAGGACAAATACTGTATGATTCCACTCCTAGGATGTCCCTCAAGTCATCCCATTTCATGGTGACAGAAAGTGGAAGCGGGGTGGCCAGGGGTTGAGGAAGGGATAATGGGGAGTCAGTGTTTGATGGGGACAGAGTTTCAATCAGGGAAAGATGTACACTTTCCAGAGATGGATGGTGTTGATTTTGTTGCACAACAATGTGAATGTACTTAATGCCCCTGAAGTGCACACCTAACAATGGCTGAAATGGTAAACTTTATGTTATGTTTTTTAGTTACCACACTAGAAAACCCTCTGGATCCCGGTTCCGGGAAGGATAACCTGTCAGATAGGAATGAGAAAACGCATCCTGGAACAACAGCTGGGACTGTCTAGCTGGTGATATTTACTGACCAGACTTGTGCATGTTTCCTCTTTGGCAGCAGAGCCCCCGGCACCGCGGTGGCCAGGCTGTGGAGAATAAAAATAGAGCCTCTGCTTTTAGCAGTGTCTTTCATAAGTTGCAAGCACTGACACTTTCATGCAAAAAGCAACACTTTCTTTTTGTGCCCTCGGAAGGGGAGTCACTCCATATAAAATTGCTCTTGACACGTCGGACTACATGCCTAGTTAGTAGCACTGGGTTCCTGCCACTTCCCTAGAACCTCTGAACATTTCTTTTCCAAAATGCAATTTAACCACAAAGCTGCCCCAGAAGCAAACTCCGTGAGTCTGACGCTGCCAGTGCACCTACCTGCGCGCACACAGCTTCAGTGACTTTTCCGACACTAGCTGGAGCTTCGCCTTTCCAGCTGGATTGAGGATTCAACAGGGTTACCTGAATGTCAACCAACTTTTGCTTTTTAGGGGCAAACATGGTTTGCTGGTGTTTCAGAAGTATACCCTATTCATTGCAAAAACCGTGCGTGTATGTGATGTTTTACGAGTCTATTCAGTCAATCGCACGACCTAGCTACACACCTTCAGATAGAAGTTCCCTGAGGACAGGCCCCTTGTCAGTGTTTTTCAACTCTGTGCCACCAGCACATGGTTCACAAGAGAAGCTCAAGCAGTCAGCACAGTGACATGACGTCCATGGTCCCAGGCACGTTTTCTTTGGGACAGAGGGGGTTGGTTCCTCTATATAAATACTAAGAGATGTATTTTTAAATGAGTTGATACAAACATGAATATGATCCAAGAGGAATTCATTATTACTATAATCATTTCTCTCTTCTGATTTTCAAAGAAATGAGACCTAGGTGGGCGGATCACAAGGTCAGGTGTTTGAGACCAGCCTGGCCAACATCATGAAACCCTGTCTCTACTAAAAATACAAAAATTAGCCGGGCGTGGTGGCGGGCACCTGTAGTCCCAGCTACTAGGGAGGCTGAGGCAGGAGAACTGCTTGAACTCGAGAGGTGGAGATTGCAGTGAGCCGAGATCGCACCACTGCACTCCAGCCTGGGTGACAGAGCGAGACTCCATCTCAAAAACAAAAACAAGCAAAAAAAAAGAAATGAGAGTTGAACGATTTCCAGGGGTTCCTGGCAGCATCTTGGCCTAGGCCCTGTGCCTCCAGTAGCCCAGGGAGGAGCTGCTCTGCACACAGCTGGATGAGCATGAAGCAGGGGGAGAGAGCAACGCCCCCACCCTGCTGCCCCCTCCTTGGTGGTTTTGAACCTCGAAGAGACAGTTAGCAGCAGATGGTGACCAGCAGAACCTCGCAGGCGCATGACCGGCCCATCCACCCATTTCCATGCATTTTTTACAGGTAAGAAACCTTAAGGCTGCAGTAGCCAAACTTCTCCAAGGTCACACAACAGGTGAGTGGAAGAACAAGGACCAGAACCAGCAAGTCAGGCCTTCCCACCCCCAGAATCATGTCTTGTGTTCCTGAGGTGAGCCTCGGGGTCTTCTGCCTTCAGCCCAATCTTTGAAACTATTTCCTACCTCTCCAAAATCCTGTAGTAGCCAAATTTCCCACCTTTTCAAAATATACCCCTGCACATAGCACCAAATTCTCAACAGTTACTGCTGCAGTCAGGCATCGAGATGAGGAGGAGGAGATGAAAATGCGCAAGACATAGACTCCGGTTTTAAGGAGCTCACAGCCTTCCATGTCTTTGCTCCTGTCCGGCATTTATAACCTCTCAGAAGTTTCTGGAATGTTCCTCAAGACTGTTTCCACCTTTTAAATCCTAGTCTTTCAAAAGTGACTCAAATTATGTCTTCTTTATGAAGCCTTTTCTGAAGCAGACATAATTAGTCTTTCTCTTCTGTCGGCTCCCAGATTATTTATGATAGGGTGGCCATTCTGTTTTGTATAAGAGAAAATTGCAAAGAGTTTATCTTCTCTTTTATATTGCAAATTCCTTGAGACAAAGGCTGAATTTAATTAATTAATTAGAGTACCTCAACATGGGCCTTGCATTCATTCACTTATCCATGTATCCATTCATTCATTTTTTTTCTCTAATGACATATTTATTAAAGGTCTACAATATTTTCGGTGTACAAAAAACAGAAAAAAAAATAATTAAATTTTCAACTTCCACATCTGACTGCGGTTCACAGAGCAGTAGCTGAAACTAGAGAGGAGAAGCTGCTTTCTGGTGTCTTTCTTTAGAGTCATTGATTCCTTCAGATTTTTCATATGCGGCACTAAACTGTACATAACGTAAATACAAACCATGTAGAAGAGATGAGAGGCAGTGTTTGGACTGGAGTTGTCTAAGATGTCAAGAAGACATGATTTGCCCAGGCTGAATGGGGAGGATTGAGGAGAGTGTTCACTTCACGGGGTGGGGGTGTGGAGGAGGGGGGTGGAACGGCTGATCAAATGCACCAGCTCGTGGTTGTGAGGAGAGGAACAGGAAACCAGGAAGACAGGAGGAGGGGTCCCCATTGGCAAGATGCCTAAAATGAATTTGTGTAGGAAGAACCGGGACCAGATTGAGAACTTGGAAAGAGGCGGACATGCTGCATTTTCACAGGGAGAAATCCTAAGCTGAGGTATGGACTCTCCAAGGTGGACACTCAGAGAAACCCTAAGCTGAGGCGTTGACTCTCTCAAAGTGGACACTCAGGCCCTGGCTTGGTCATCTCACTCTCTGCACTGGGAGTTGAGACTTGGCGCCAGAGAATTCAATGGCCCCATCTCAGTTCTTTTTATTTTTAAGCCTCCTTCCAGAGCATTGCAAAAAAAAAAAGGGCAAAAGGGAAGCACACGGCTTCGCAAGGGGTATCCCTGCTGCCCCTCAGACCCTTGCACACTCCTGAGCTCAGCATGTGGGTTCAATGTGGAGACACTGGTTTGACGGATCAAACAAGCAAAGAGAAGGAAACCTCAGTCATTTAGTGGTTCTGTCTTCATCCTCCCTTTCCCAAGCCAGCACAGAACTAAGAGAGAGTGTTCTTATCCCCATCTCTTTCCCTCTTTCGAGAGCCACACAGCCACCAGGAGGCACCTCAACCCGTCTGGCCTCCCCTGTGAGGAGTGAGTTCCATCCCACACAGGAGGCAGGTGGGGAGCCGAAAGGCAAATGAACCGCAGTGCCCAGGCTCACCCACTGGAGGTGCAAGTCAAGTCCGAGGGGCTTGGCAGCTCCAGCTCTCCGAAACCACGCACCCTGCGCGCCTCTCTCCCCATCGCCTATGCAAAGCCCCCTTGCTTTCGCAGCTGCACTTTCTTTTGGAGCCTGTTGAGAGTGTTGGAATCGATGACCTCTAAAGTCACCACCAGCCACATACTTCCTTTTTTTCTTTCTTCTTCTTTGTTATTCCAAAGTACCAGGGCATGCTAGTACAAGGAGGGATCCGTGTGGAACCCTTTTTTTTTTTTTTTTTTTTTTTTTTTTGACAGTCTCTCTCTGTCATCTAGACTGGAGTGCTGTGGCATGATCTCGGCTCACTGAAGCCTCCACCTCCCGGGTTCAAACGATTCTCCTGTCTCAGCCTCCAGAGTAGCTGGGACTGCAGGCTCACACCACTGTGCCCGGCTAAGTTTTTTGTATTTTTAGTAGAGACAGGGTTTTGCCATGTTGACCAGGCTGGTCTCAAACTCCTTAGCTCAGGCAATCCTCCCGCCTCAGCCTCCCAAAGTGCTGGGATTACAGGTGTGAGTCACCGTGCAT